TCACCTCAGCCTCCCAAAGGCGCGGGATTACAGGCTGAGCCACCGAGCCCGGCTCGTGAAGTTCAAATTTAAGTGACTTGTTTCAAGCTCCCAGGGTTGAGCTGGACGCTGAGGCCCAGTTGACTTGCCTTGAGGCCACTCAGAGTGGCCTCTAAAGGGAAAAAATGCTCAGTAAAGGCAATTCACCATTATTTCTTCCTGGCATTAGGGGTGAACATACTGCGTGTTTTAGTGTAGTAAGTCTTTTCTTTGTCTTCATACAAAGGGATCTAGAAGGGAGACAGAAAACAAGTGCTATCCACTTGTAATGTTGGCTTTTGAATGGAAGAGAGGTTATCTTTATCATCTGCATTTGGGGGAAAGTATTTCATTTTTTTTTTAATTAATCAATACTTTTTATTTTGGTATTGTGGGGTACAGTTAAGGGTTAGGTATACAAATATGTTTCGTTCAGGCACCCTTGTTGATAAGGGGTGTCTCCCTGTCCCCAGACAGATATTGACTACCGTTAATCCCACCTCCCTTCCCCTCCCCCCCATAGTTTCCTACCGCTGTCAGTCCTTTTCTTATAGTATTACGATTTTGCTTAGTATTCCTCTCCCAACTGCCCTTTTGAACTTGCAACCAACTTCAAGGTTAACTGGATTCTAGAAATTTCAATGTGAAAGAGGCAAAAATGTTAACTCTGGAAGCTACCTCAATCAAATCAGACCCAAATCTTTAATTCAACTAACTGATCAGAAGTGTGAGGTCCCAAGTATTATGTGGTATTGCTCACAGCTCACGAATTGAAAAGCCAGGAAGAACAAGCAGGTTGGTTCCAAGTCCACGTGGCTCCAACCTGCAGGCACATTTGAGAGCCCCTTAGATGGAGTCTGTGCTTCCAGTGACGACATGGAAGCTTCCCTAGTCAACTCAGAGGAAGCCGTGTGGCTCTCTAAGGAGCTTCCACTTAAATAGTGACGCGTCATAGAAAGAAGCTTGGTGCAAAATAACAGTGTTGAACGGGAGGTGGATTGGGCCTTTGAGAAAACATCTGATGATTGCTGGGAAAATGTTCAGGAGACTCTGATTCTGAGAGAAGAACATGTCGTGATAAGCTGTGAGTGGTATTTCTGACTTGGATAACTCTTTCCGTACTGTTGGTGGCATTTTAAAAATAAGTAGCTCACGAACATTGAGAATGAGAACGATCTCCTTATCAAGCAATCACAGTGGCTAAAACTACTTGAAAAGTACTATTTAAAACACATTAACTCTGACTTCAAGCTCAGGAGGCCAATCATCAGAAGAGAAGTGGGTGTGTGCCACTGTTTCATTTCGAAGAGTCCAAACTTATGCATCGCTATTTGAAAGAAGAAACGTTAAGAAAACCACTTAGGCCCATTTGTTTATCTGCCATATTTTCAAAGGGCGCCTACGATGACTGCCACCCACGATTCATGGAAGTTTACGGACTGCCTAGAAAAAAGGAATTGGGCATTTCTGATTTATTCTTTCTTTGTTTGCTTGTCTGTTTCATGCATTTACTGTCACTGTTGGTTCTTTCCTCATTTACTTCAACATCAAGAGGGTCTTTTAATAACTGATACTGAACATCTGGGATTTGCAACAGCTCACGTTTACGTATTCACAACCACACCCAGAATCAACCACGGACACGTTTAAGGATCTCAAAAACGTCCTCTATTATGGCACTGGAAGTGAGTGTGGGATCAACTCATTGATGCTAAACTTTAAGTTAGAAAAGACTCTGGTGTCCCCCAGGCACCCAGCTGAAATGGATTCTGAGCACACGACTTTGGGGAAGTTACTGAACACCTCGGCAATCGGTCAATCCACGTGATGGCGGAGCTGCCCAAGCCACCTTCCACCCCGCTGCGCCGGGCATGAGAACGAGAGCGTGTCTGGGGAGGAACAGCCCACGGGCCAGGAGCCCGGCCCTTGGCCCCACGGGGACGCTCACCACGTCTGCTTCGCCATGTCGAACTGATAGGCCCTCGTGAGCTCGTCCAGGTGCGCCTGTAGCATGGGCTGCCCCTCCTCCCGCGGCGACGGGGTGAGCGTCGCCGTGGACTGCTGCCCAAAGGACACGGCGGGAGACGAAGCCACGCCGCGGATGGGTGGCGTCGGGACCCTGTCCTCGTCCTCCTCCAGCTCGTCTTCCAGGCCTTGGTGTAGGTATGTCTGCACTGGCAACGGCGGACACCAGCTGTCGCTGTCGTAGCTGAAATCGGACGAAAAACAGACGCATGGTGACACATGCTTGCACACACGCAGTTATACTGGCAGTGCACAGCAACCACGCGTGTCTAGAATGGCCTATATTCGTTTCTTCCTGATCAAGTTGGGGGTGCCATCCTAGCAAATCACCTGGCTATCATCTTGATCTTCGTTGTAATTACATCTGCTATCTCGGTATCTCCACTTCTCCTTTAGAGACCTTTGTGCTAACTACTACACCACCGTTACAAAAGGGCCATCACTTTCCAACAAACTCGCTCATGTGGGAAAACCAAACTGCTAATTAAGACAGTGAATGACGCAGTGCTGGTCGAGTCAACCACTTCCTTCTCCTGCTTACACTTTCCACCAAGAGGATAGGCCGATGCTGACGGACCGTCTGAGATGTGTTGGAGACTTGCCTTCACTCTGATTCTAGATCTGTGCCAAACTTTCAGTCCACGCTACATGGCAGTCATTAAGACTCTGATACAAAGGTATCAATATCCATGGGAGCCTCTTGTTGTCTCAGTAGGAGCCAACATCTCCTTTTTCTTGGCATCTATAAGAGGGAACCCCAAGGAACCTGGAATTACTTTTGGAGGGAGGGCCCCTTGTAGGACAGGCTTCCCTCACTAGGTTAGGGTTCTAGGAACCCGTCTGCATCTGTGGACCAGCTAGTGTTGTGGTGAGAGGCTACGTTCAGCTTCGTGATTTTTTTTTTTGAGATTCATTCAATGTGCTTACCCATTTCATATGGGTGATTTACCAGCACTCCTGCCCACACTGTGCTGAGTGTCCGGCAGTTTTTGACCAAAAACCACACAATCCTCATGCTCCACCTTCCCTATTCAGCGGATCTCGCTCAAGTATCAAACAGAGAGTCCTTTGAAGGTGAATGAAGTTTAAACATGTAAGAATAAATAAACAATTTTTTGGTAAATAAATTCTGGGTTTTTTGGGGTCCCCCTTCATAAATGCAAATCGTAAGTCAGAACTTCAAAACATTGCCCTATAAAGTATGTATATATTTTTAAATCATATTTTTTTGAGTTGGAGTCTCACTCCATCGCCCAGGCTGGAGTGCAGTGGCACACTCATGGCCACCCCAGCGTTGTCCTCCTAGGCTCCAGCGATCCTTCCACCTCAGCCTACAGGCGTGCACTACCATGGCTAGCTAATTTTTTTATTTATTGTAGAGATGAGGTCTCACCAAGTTGCTCAGGCTGGTCTTGAACCGTGGGCTCAGGCAATCCACTCGCCTCGCCTCCCACAGTGCTAGGATTACAGGCCGAGACACTGAACCCAGCCAAAAATCATATTTTTATTGTAGTAAAAAAAAAAAAAAATTGACATGGCATCTACTGATTTAACAAATTGAAGGTTTTAACATAATTTTAACTATTATGTTAAAATGCTGTGTTTTAATGACGCTGGTCTGGGAAAATAGAAAATTAAACAAAAAGGTTTACCTGTGCCAAGAGAGCAGCAGCATTTCGATTAGATCTTCCCTGGAGTCCTGGCATTTTCAGAAATCAAATAGCCCCTAACCCCCTTTGAAAAGGAGACCCGAGGGTCGGTAAGCAGCACGACTGGATGCGTTGTCTCCTACGCCTGACCCTCGACCGCCTGCAGCCTCACTACATGCATTTCCACCTCTGCCTCCTGCTGTGGACAGTGTGTGCTCTCCTGGTCTTTCGGGAGGCCACTTCCTCCTCCACCCTTTCTTCCATCCTGCAACAGGATCAGGGCTCCCAGCGCTTCCCCCGCATCACACCGGCGCTCACGGTGATTCAGTGGCCGCCCCCAGTACAGAACAGCCCCTTGCTCATCAGAGCTTGGAGACCTGTCGGGTCAGCCTGTCTTTTCAGCTGAGCTTCTCGCTGATCCCCACATACGAGCCTACCCTGCTTTTTCTCAGCTGTGGGTGTGTCTATGACGTTCTGTTCTCGAGGCGCTCCCTCAGCAAGGGTCCCCTCAAACGCCGTCTGCTCTGCGGAGCAGTTCCCCGACCCCACCGCCATGGTGAGACCCAGACTGTGGTGCTGGCCGTGTTATGTGGGGATCGTTCCTGTGTCTCTCGTTCCCCTTATTCTGAGTCCCTGAAGCCTAAGAACTCGAATCCTCAGCTTCCTAATTCTGGTACGGGACACAGTGTCTGGCCCACGGGAGACACTCATGACAGAAACTGAGCACAGGATAAACACCACAAAGGTACACATCTAGTCCTGATTTCTCTCACCAACTGGAACTCAAAAATGTTCAGATGGTTCTTGAATACTTCCACTTGAATGCCTTTTCATGTGTCCTGTGTAAAACTGAATTTATTAAAACTCAAACATGTGTATTTAGTGACAAATTTTGGAGGCAACCAAGATGTCCACCAGAAGGCAGAAGTGTACATGAACTGTGGTATATCTGGACGAGGGGTTATCATTTATCACTAACAGGAAGTAAGCTGTTGAGTCGCTTTCAGACATGGAGGAAGCTTGAATGCTACCAAATGAAAGAAGTCAGTCGGAGAAGG